GGATGCACAGTTAATCAATACTGCACTCTGCAACAGACACTGTGTGCTTCAGAGCCCAAAGCAGAGGTGAGCATGCATGTACATCCAGTACCACCAGCTCTTACTAACATCAGCTGGGCTGCTCACTGTACATCCCAGGTATGCACAGATGTCTTTGTGAGAGGAAAAAAAAAAATGAAGCAGGACCACTTTGATGACATGTATGGCAGATAGTGAAAATAATCACACGTGACCCTAATTGGCTATGCATTTTTACGTTATTGTAAAAGGTAGCTATTTATTGCTATATACTAGTAGCTATTAAAACAACAGAGCAAGACAAGAAAATATTTGTTTTTTTCAATAAGCTATGCACAACATAAGCACACCTCATCCACTTATATGTGTGCCTACCACATTAATGGATTCTCCACTGCTTGTATCACTGAAGATAAAAGTCTTCATTATATATTTGATTAATCAATACCTTGGAATCAAATAAATCATGTTTCAACAGGGAAAACAAAAATGAGTAAGGTTAAATTACTGCTGTCATTTTCTATAAGCAGGTCACAGTTTCCCGCTATAGAAACCACTAACTTAATTACTTTACAACAAGAAATCCACACTGCAGCATATTTTAAAAGGCTAGTTTTCTCAGTGTAATAAAAAAGCCCCCTCAAGGCTCATCACGTATGTCATACTATGTTTACTTCTAAGCATTCCAGCTAAAGAACAGTATGAGAAAACCTCAGTGAATCAAGCTGATTAATATTCTGCATTTGTAAGGAGTGGTGCTCTCAATTCACCAAGTATACATAAATGTTATTTTATTAAATTTCAAAGCAATTGTTAGGTGGGATAATAAAATGGAGCCATTTTATAATTGTCTCCATTTTATAATCTCTTTCGCAGCAATGTAGGCTTAAAAACAGAAGTGAAAGCAATAAATTAATACACACTAAAGGAGAGAAGGTGACAAATGAGGGATTGCAGAGCTGCAAGGCCATGGTAAGTCCTGCAGAACACAGAACTTCACATTCAAGGTAGAAGCATTTGTATCAGGTTTGCAAATCCTCAGACAGAATGGCTGGGGCTGCAAGAGACCTTAAAGGTCATCCAGTTCCAAACTCTTGCTGTGGGCAGAGTTGCCAGACACTAAATCAGGCTGTCTAGGGCCCCATCCAACCTGACCTTGAACATCTCCAAGGATGTTAGATTAAAAAGTTAAGGAATCTTTTATTTATTTATTTCAATTTCTAGTACTAATCACAGTTCATAGTGGCTTCCTGCAGGAATTGTATTTCATGAAGATAGTCTGGAAGGGCAACCAGAGAACAAACAAGAACACAAAAATTTATCTGGGGAAAAGAATATTTTCTATTATTTCTAAAAGAAAAAAAAAAAAAAAAAAAAAAAAAGGGGGGGGGAAGCACAAAAATCTCTCTTTTTCTACTTTTTAATTCATACATAGCTTTGCTTTACAGAGCAATGTTCCCTATCCTGCCAATTAGTATCTCCTCTTTTAAAATGCATTCCTTAGTACAAATTTCTCCCAGAAATTCTTCCAACAGCATTTCATTTTCTACTCAAAAACAGTCACCAAAATTAAGATCAATAAATCATAGCTGTTTCATTAAACTATCAACTCACTGTCAACTTCAGCAGAAAAAATCAAAGACATATCTCACCCTAACAACTACTCTTCCTTTCAATAACAGCAGGTAAAAAAACCAGAAGCAATTGTGAATCACTGTCTAACTAACACGTCTTTAAAAACTTGGACCTTCTAATGACAGTTAAGAGTCAATTTGCCATTAAACAAAAGATCACATTTACCAAGTGTAGCATTACACTTGAGAATTGTTCAATGTTTCAGTGTTACAGCTAGCTGCATACAGCCTCCTAACCAAGGAACATTTTTGATATTTTATTCAAGATGTGATGCTTCTACCCATACAGTTTGCCATCTTACAGATTATTTTAGGCTCTTGAAGAATAGAAACTTACCTGATTCATAAGCTATCTCTCAGTAAGAGAAGGAACTGAACTCTTTTTCCAATTACATTCTCATCATATTTCAACGTATTTGTTAAATTACCAAGCTGAACTTCCCTTAGAACATTTCCCATTAAAGTAATTCCCCGCAGATTTTCTCATAAGGAGCCAAAGTGTAGCAATGGGGCACAAGTAAAACGTAATAAAACTAAGACCTATGGCCCTAACCTAATAAATGCTATGATCAGAATCATTATGTAGAGCATAATAGGATTTTTATTGCATTACATTCACAGTAGCATTGTTAAGTTAGGTTTCAGAAAGACAATGAAGTTAATATTACCATGCAAAAAACAGCATTTTTTTTTAATGTTCATGACACATTTTTATACTAATCAAAGCTCCTATTTTGATAAGAGAAAAAAATTATATGCAGTAACTTCCACCTGACCACAACTACAGCGCAACACTCATGGAAATGTCAAACATACACACCCTTTTACATAGGGGAGGAACTTAATGAACTCGTTATCAACATAAACACGTATTGTTTAAAAAAAAAACAGTTTAAATACATTAGGCTTATATAATGCAGGGCTGAAACCTATATATCTTGGGCATTATCTGCCAGCAGAGAAAAAGAGGTTCACAAGTTTTTATGTATGTCTGGGATTGTCTTCAATAATTTTTGCTGAAGCAACCCATAGACTAATAATCAAGCCCATTGCCTTAAGGAAGCTTTTACAAGTCCAACAAATCAACTAATATCAAATACCATGTAAATCATCGACTCCTGTTTTCAGATGGCGTATATACTCAAAGAATTAAAATAGCTCTGGATAACGAGCTGAGAGTAGAAAGACTACGTATCATATCACATCTCCACTGGAATTACTTCTTCATCAAGAATGTCAAGCATTATTATCTTAGCTTTTCCAGAAGCTGCTACAAATCTTTTATAATAATGCAATGGACGTAACTATTCTGTCACCATTAATTCAGAGCTTTATAAATACGAGGGCTGCCCTGAATGCAGTGCCACCTATGCTATTATACTGGCTACAGCATCTGAGGTCAGTTAGTAGTACAGCAATAGAGAATGAATCTTTCAAACAACATTCCCTTACATTTTGTTGCCATGTGACAAACTGCAGTAGAGGGGCAGACTGATATAATGATGTCTGACATGGAAGTGCAGAGGTAGCAAAGGAATGGAATTTAAGTAATCCATGTAGAAAAAATGGCAACCATTACTATTTATCAATGCTTGCTGAATATTTATGGAAAAGAAACAGTGGATGCAAGCACAGTGGATGTTGTGCTTCAGCAGTGGTGACAGTGACAGTGAATAACATGCAATGCTCCAGATGGTCATGTAGATTTTTATAAGCATAGAGTGTGAGTTCTTGTTTATTGTTGGTAAAAAAAAAAAAAAAAAAAAAAAAAAAAAAAAAAAAAAAAAACCACATAGCTAACAGTAATGACTATGTTCAAAAATAGCATTTTGTAAATGAGAATTTGCTCTATCAAATACTTATGTTGTTCTTTCTATCTCCTGTAGACTCCATGGAAATAAATAGGAGGCATTACTTTTGAAGCAACGAATGTATGCGAAGTAACAAAATACAAACAAGGCAAAGCACATGATAGAGAATATTATTTATGGGAAATGGTTCCTCCAGTTAATTTGTCCACAGTGGGCCCAGGAAATAATCACGTTTAAGCATTATGATTTCTTGTAAAAAGGTTGGGTTTTTTTTTTTCTGTTTTCAATTCATGTTTCTTCACCCATGTGTTCGCTTTCTATAACCCCATAGTAGCATTACTCACTCCTGGTTAAAATGACCTTTGTTTGAGTTAGTTTTATCCTCAAACTTTTTAGCTCTCACTTATTTAGGAAACATATTCAGGATCACAAATACTGCTTTTACAGCCCTCTATACTACTCTTCTTTTTACCAAATACAATGAGACAGTTGTCTTTCCCTTTAAATAGATATGCAAACAGGCTTGCAATGGCACAACACAGTGGCTAAATACAAACATCATAGAATTATCACACAGAGAAAAATGGAAACAAGAGCATAATTCAATCAGTAATGATATGTCTATAATAATTTCCTGGATAAATTTGCAGCAAAGGAGGGAGCAGAACTGAAGACATTGCACACCCGCAGGAATAACTGTCAGAAACTTCTCTTCCACCTGAGTCTGCATAAAAGTACAGTATGGATATATACATTTGTGGATGGAGAAAAAAGGGTTTAGAAAATAGCAAGTGAAAGCAAGAGTCACTGTAATAATGTCATTGTCATGTCACCGTTGTAGGAAGCATCACAACAGAGTACAAACTCAGAGCTCTACATTGTGATCAAGCATAAATCTCACATGTTTTATGCTCATTGAGTCTTTTTGTGTTACCTGGACTTACCCGCTTATGGAAAAAGGAAGGCAAGATTCCCTACTGCAAGTGCCCTGATTTACCAAGAGTTTGGGTAAACCTGTTCTACAATTCTTCTGAGCACATGGACAGTTCACCACCGCTATCGCTATTAATCAATGCAGTGCACGAAAGCAATCATGTTACACTCACGCCTCAAGTCAAGGCCTGCTTGTCTGAAGCATGTTATTCCAGCAGGCACGAAATCAAGTTACAATTGCATCAGCAATAGTCTGTTTGTTTGTTTGTTTTGCAACTGTCTGGTGGCAGAAGTCACTGTAAATATCTGGAAAACTACATGAGTCTGCCTTTGGTGCTGTGCAGTTACAAGAAATTTTTACAGGTACAGAAGAATTCCATTTAATAATTGACCACATGAAGGCAAAAAGCAAAGTTGAAGAGTACCTTTCCGTCAAATGGCACAGGTATTTACAAATCAAACTAATAAATGCATACCCGCTCCTACCTTTCTAAGGAAATTATTCTTTATTATTTCCAAGTAATTGTACTGAACACATTTCCATATTCCGTATTCCTAGAATAATAATATCTCTTTGAAGATATCCAATATTTCTCTGTCTTACCAGTACGATGGTGATGTTGTTCTTCTACGAACTCCAAATCAAGCATTAGGTCATCTTCATCTAACTCACAGGAACCCAAGTTATTCAAAACATCCTAATAAAAACAAAACAAATAAGCAAAAGCATTTAAACAGTTGAGTCTAAATCTCTTCCACACAATCAAACCTGGAAAATAAGTTTAAGAATTTGCTATATTAAATTTTTCTATTTATATTTGATTAGAGAGAAGACAGTATAAAACACTTGGCCAAACAGAAATGTATTTGGCACTATTCTCTGTTTTTCAGGATCTTGAATATCTAAAGAGGGAAAAACTAACAGAACAAAACAAAGAAGAAAGCAGAACACAAAATTATCAGTAACTGTTTCTCATTAAATTTTGGAATTCTAATCAGTATCTGCTCTTACCAGTATTATCTGAACAGAGATCTAAAGTTCTGTTTCTCGAAGGTATAAAGAGACACAAGTATAGGATTACCTGAAAATCCAGGTATGATCAATCAATTCAGTAATTTTGAAATATCTGTGTGAACAATAAAGTCTTACAGTGACAGAGAAGAAAGCCTGACTATGTGGTGTGGCTCCTTGGGTCCCCGAGCTCTTTTTGTGATTTACTGTGTTTGCAATCATCTGAGGCAATAATTTTCTCTAGTCCCTCTCCTGACTATCGAAAAGGAGAAGAGGCTATTATTTTCTCCAGTCTCTATCAGATAATCTGATGTTTAGGAAAGGGATGAAAACAAGTTATCATCTTACATTTTCCTCCCATTAATGTTTTCATTCTATGGTCAAGAATCTATAATTAGTATGATATGATTAAAAGGAAAAGGTTTTGAAGTAAGGGAAATTAGTACAATCACATAACGTCAGGTACATCTACGGCATTTCTTCTGACATGACATTCATGATTTTCTCCAGTCACAAACGTCTAAACCAAGATAAGACCTGCATTCTGCAGCTAGCATTTTGTTTCAAAAATCTAGAAGTGATACCAGAACCAGCATGATTCTTCAGCCATTCACAGAGGAAAATACACACTGGACTTGTCCACAATACATTGGCACCACACACATCCCTTATGTTCCCCGTTCTAATCTAAAACAAACACTGATTTTCAGCTCGTAAAAGATCAGGTGATTGTTTCAATGCACCAAGCTGCTTTAGGGGGCTAGAGATCCCTACAGATATCTGCTGTAGGGAAAGCAAAGAAAAGTAACAGCATTACACCACAAACTAGAAAAAGCCCTTTATGACTTCAGTTCCAACCATACTTCTTCATATTCCTTTTAATTATTTCAAGTATTCCCCCCCCCCAACAAACCTTAATTCCCAATTCACACTCAAAGCTTATTACATTTATTCAACTCTTTTGAGTAATAATGTCTTTAAATTCTGTTTTCCGCTCTTTCAAAAACAACATATAGGCAACACAAGGACCTCTTGCATCATTTCCCTTGCTTTCCACTAGCATGAAAACACCTCTTCTGAAATGCAGAACCCATTGTAAACGCTCTTCTTATAGTTACAGATACCAAGCACAGAAAGTAACAACTGTCAAGTGTAGAAATCTCCCAACAACGAACAAGCAGTGCTCCATGCATCACCGACTGTTACAGTTGCATCTAACACAGAACATCTTATTCTTTTTATCGGAGAGCTGCTGGCAAGCCACCTTCATAGAAACTATTATCTTCAAGCCAACAAAACGCAGACTTTCAATAACCAAATTACTTATTACAGTCCAGTACACAGGCATAGTAATTACACAGAATACAGGATACAGATGCATTGTGTCAGGTTATGGTACCCAATACCTACACTGACACACACCTTTGTAGTCTGGATTTATGTTAGCTTATAACAAAGCCAAAGTAAAAATAGCTTAATTAAAATTTAAAAAAAGTTTCTCTGTATTAAACCGAAGCAGAACAACACGCACTGCTCAATGTTATAGATAGCCTAAAACTTAAGTATCTTCTAAATCACTGTTGAGGCTTGTGTAGTACTGAAGACTGAAAATATCATTTAGGGTTAATGTGACAGTACCCAAATACTTGGCAAAACAGAAGCAGCAAGGCACAACTAGATTTTGTTTTCTGTTCTCAGAGACATGACTGAAGTACCTCTAGTCCAACTAATTTTTTCAGAAGGAGAATCAATGGTTATCCATACAAACAAGCAGAAGAACTTCTTTACAGTAAGGGTGACGGAGCACTGGAACTGTTTTCGAGAAAGACTATGGAGTCTCCTTGTGGAGATATTCAAGACTCATCTAGACACCTACCTGTGACCTATGGGAGGGAACATGCTTTAGGAGGGGGCTTGGACTCCATCTGGCTGGACATGAGGAAGTATTACTTTTCAGAAAGGGTGGTCAGGCACTGGAACGGACTGCCCAGGGAGGGTGTTCAAGGAAAGACTGGATGTTGTGTTGAGGGACATGGTTTAGTAGGAGCTATTGGGAATAGGTGAACGGTTGGACTGGGTGATCTTTTAGGTCTTTTCCAACCTTGGTGATTCTATGATTCTATGATCTCTGGAGGTCCCTCCCAAATCTTGCAGTTCTGCGATTATCTCAAGTTAAGAACAGATAAATGTAAAGAAACAGCATCTAAACAATGGAAGAACTTATTGTTCACTTACTTTAGACACTACTAGTCAGTCAAAATAATTTATACTCCGAGAATGTACAACTTAATTCATTTCTATGTTGTTTTATACATAAAAGCATTCCACTGAAAAAGTCCAGAAAAACAAACCCTGCAATTTTAAACATCTAAAAGCTTTTCATGTCAGTACTGATAAACACCAAAAAAGATGAAATATACAGGCTTGTTCCTTAGCATTATTTTATATATTATAGTCAATCAAATTAATCCATATTGTTAGCAACATTAAACATTCTTTGATCTTCTCCGTAACAATAGTAATGAGCATGGTTTCATGCTAATTGAGTATATATATGCTACACCTTTGCCTCATCTTCTAAGCTGAAGCAACTCCACCAGGTGAGATGAACTAAGATCAAAAAGTTTGTACTCCTTTATACGTACAAATGAACACTTGACAGAGGGAGTTTCTCTAGCTGAAATGAGATGTGTCTATTCTGACAGATCAGCAGCCTATTTCTTCTCCTTATCTACCGCCAAGGAAGAATACTGACTTGCAAACAGTTGCTCCACAGACTCAGGAATGCATAAAAGCACATCCAAGAAGAGGCGCATTAATTTGCTTCCCAGATCTCTCCTAACACTAATGTTTTTTGAAAACATGTACGTTCATAATGAAACAAAAATACTTCAAGACTGGTCTGCCCAATGCCACAGAACGGCTGAGATATGTCTTCCACTCCTTTGCTTCCTTGCTAGGTACCACTATTCCCCACATCTCCTTTGTTGCTATGACAATTAGTAACAACTGTAATTTCTTTTAGAACTTAATACCTCTTGACCCTCTTTTCATTCTCCCACTACTGCTACTACAGTCTTTGAAGATTAACATAATTAAATAACAAAAAAAAGAGGGATAGAAAAAATAGAGGTTAAGTCTTTAACGTTCACAGTGAATAGCTTAAAGGCATTATCCAAAAGAAAAAGAAACACTTCCATCAGGGTCCCAAGGCAATGTCTGTTGTGTATTTATGGTGATATATCATTTATTTATTCCTGGAAGTAAATTGTTTAGTGAAAGCAGCTCTGCAGCAAAAATCTCTTGACTTTCTAATAGCCCCTTTATAACCTTGAAACCCATTTCCTATTTTTGTGTCTCTTTCCCACTTGACTTTTAGCACCGTTTTGCCTTTAAAGTGCATCAGAAATTTAACGTGATGGCACTTTTTCCTTCCAACTTACTAAACTATTTCTCATACTGCAACACCTATTCCTCTGCAGCAGCACAGTTAACTACAACTCAGGGGAATATTCAGTGGTATATTTCATAATTTTTAGTAACAATTTTTGTATTAAAGATTTTAGCAACAATAAAACTTATCAACTATTTTTTTTCATCCAAATGCTAAGTATCTTATTCAAATCACTGGCATCGGTGATATTCAGTTTAGGAATATAACCTCAGAATACTTTTACTATAAAAGAGATGCAGTGACTCATGCTGATATATCACAGAAAAAGCTGAAACGTAACAACGGGATAGAAATACAGGTTTTGCCAGGATTGTATGTTTAGTCAGCATCACTGAAAGGGACCTTTCTTTCAATCTTGAGTTCCCTCCCTACCTGTTTTTCTCTTCCTAGCTTCCCTTTTTGTGATCACTACAAGGAAATTTAACATGCAGTATATGAATTCTCTATCCTTTTCCAGAATAGTCAAGTACTTCAATACTTTTTGCCCTGTTGGAGCTCAGAGTCTACAACTTCCAGGAAGATTGAAAGCTGCAATAAATAAGAACAGCCATGGTAATAACTACATACGAAGTGCCCAAGGTAACTAAACTCACATCTACTGTTAGTAAAACAACAACAAAAAAGATAACGTTTTATTCATGAAGCCCCTTTTATGATGGTCTAGCATTATTATTCCAAGTAACCAATTTATACACCTAGTAAAATTATTGCTTATGGAATTATACTATGATAATTGAAAAAGTTACTACCCACGTATTCAAAAATGACAATAAAACATACAAATGAATATGAAAATACAGAAACGTATATTATTTTATCAAGCAATAATAAATGGACCTATCAAGATCATATAAATTTTACAATATGCATAAGCAAGACAGAAAATCCATGTAAAACTGAACTTCAGCAACTAGTGTTGGAAACCAAGATGAACAACTGGTTTTAGGTGACAAATTGGCCCATTTTAAACATCCCAAAACCAACAGAGGTAAATAAAAGATGCATTTCTTTATGTTCGCACACATTTTTGTTTTTGTCTTTCCTGCTTCTAAACACAGTAGACAAAAGTTCTCTGTCATTAGCAGCATCTTTGGAGAGTTTTATGCACTATTCTATAATTTTATTGTAATTAGCATGCTGTCCCTATTCAATATCATGTTCAATGGCTTGTATTTCTTTTCGTTTTTTATGCTGGCATCTTGAGGGAGCTCGGCACTGACATATTTTTGTGA